TTTAGGGCCTCTTGGCGGCTGCCATCACCCATACATGCTTACTGCCCATTCCTACATGCTCGGGCGCTTGGCATCTTGGTCACGTCATGATAATTGCCTTTGCTTGTTGTTGTTGTTGTTGTTGTGTGTTCTTCTTCTTCTTCTTCTGTTCTTTTTCTTCTTGGCCTCTTCTTTCTTCTACTCCGTATAAATACCATACACATATCACGCAGACATAATAGCAGTCAAAATGGTTTAGAAATTTCATTGTTTCCCTCGTTTTACCTTTGTATTTTTTTATTTTGGATTTTTAGCTAAGTTCTTATGGGTACCGGAGAAAAGTAGACACCATACATTTGCACCCCCAACGAAACAAATGTGTGATGTCGATGTCACTGTTGTGATGGTCTAGGTTTTTAATGGTTAGAATGAAAAGACAATTTACAAGACAGACCTGAGTTTTCTGTGAGATTGAAAGTACATCTTTTATCGCTGGAAGCCTGCCATAGTTTGGCGCGATACAGTTAGATATTATGCTTTTTCGAATTAAGTACTGTCTTTGCTGAGATCGGTAAGTTGCTTCTCGTCATTCAGCTGAGATGTTAATGATTCTGGGACAATTAAAAGGGGTAAGCGCTTGTCTTCGAAACGCGCCTGCTTGCCCTTTGGCTGTTTTTGCTTCCCTCGTCACTCAGCCACACAACGTGCCAACCCACTTTTAATCGGAATGCGTGTGCTCATAATTCTGGTAACATACTCTGCCGAACTCGAGTCAATGCTCCAAGCTTAACGCCACGTTTGTGCATAGTCTTTCAGATATTCCGAGAGTTGGTCAGGTGTAAGCCAGATATATTGTCTATCATTAGGGCCATACATTGGTTTTAGGTCATGTTTAGAGACTGTGCTTTCTGGTACTAATTTCAACAAGTACAAATGGTTTGATGAGCGACTCCCGACGGCTTTCCCTATCGTTTGCTCCTCACCGGGTAAAAAAGTCATATACTGACACACATTCAGCGCCTTGTTTCGGATCCTTAAGTGTGTGTAGTGATGGCACAATAAAAAGATATTGAGGATCCTGTGCTTTTGTTGCTTATACGCAACTTGGAACCTTTTTCCTTTCGGAAAAAATGTGGTTTGAATACAACCCGAAATCACAAAACCCTGCCATTATGGAAACTCATCAATTTTTATAATCCATTGCATTATATTATGGTGTCATGTTGCTACAGCCCTTGATCATTAAAAACAATTTGGATGATAAATCAAAAAGTTGCCTTAAAACCGTTTGCTAAAATAGAGTTCATTGCAAATTATGCATGAACACACACATAATCTATTCATACTTGTTTAAATATGTAATTGTGCAATAATTATTTTCATGAAAAATACCATGCGCATATCCATTGTATTTTATACTTGACTTTTAATTATGTCTAGTTAGTCTAATAAACTTGACTAGAATGATTTTATTGGTTCTTTTTGTACCTTGCAAGCTTGGTTTCTCTGTATCTATATTCTTGTCATTGGTATCAATTTCCAAACCCTAGCTAAATGAAGGTGTTATATAATACATGAGCTAAACAAGATAACATAAGCAAACCCCTTAATCACTCATTCCATTCTTTCAGTCGCTTCTTCAATTCTTTTAGTGAGCGATTTGTTCTTGAAGCCATGCACACATCAAATTATTATGGCTTTCCGTGGAGTACCAATCCCATTTCAAGAAGAGGTCAATTGTTAACTAGAACCTACCCATGGGTTGGAGAAACGAACAGGAGTTTGTAAGGTAGACACTAACAAGAAAAAAACACCTTTTTGGCAAACCAACCTAAATTTTTGAGTTGGTCGCAAATAGTCCACTTTCTGCGACTAAAATTTTTTTTGTCGCTGATGATATGTTTTTTCGCGACTCACAATTTTTTGGTGGCTAATAGCTAATTTTTGGCGACCACATACAAATTTGGTCCGTGGAAGATCACCTTTTGCAACCAAAAAATAAGGTTGGGTCGCAGAAGTTATGGTGGGATAAATTTAAAAAAAAAAACGAGTCTGTTGTAATTACATTCTATTTTTTCTGTTAGGCATTGAAGGTTTTATGAAATAATATATAATCCAATTTTTATAGGTTTTAAATTATTTTTCTCTGCAAATGTGAATAACAAGCAATGTTTTGGTAGAGTGGATTGGGCCATAAATGGAGAGTGACTCCTTGGTCAGGAAGTTCAACTCCCAAGCAGCATCAAAGAATATTTTTCTTTGGGTGGAGGCGCTGACTTTTGGGTTACTGAAAAGTTCCATTTTTAGCTAATATGGATTGGACTTTCCGCGACCAATTATTTGGTCGCCAATGGTCCTTTTAGCAACCAGACTATAAACTTGGTCCGCAGAAAACTATATGTGATGAGGATTTAGTGACCAACTCACGACCAAGCACATTTTTGGTCACGAAAAAAAGATTTTAGGCGACTCAATATGGTACTTTTTCGCCGACCAAAACGTTTAGTCGCGAAAGTATAATTTCTTGTAGTGAGAAGTTTCGCTATCCTTGGCACTAAAGAATTGTCAAATCTCAAACTATTAATCTTGTAATTCCTTTCTTGAGTGGTGATTTGCTAATTGTCATTGTGCCTTGGTTTTTTCCTAGGTTTTCCAGATAATTGATGTGTCCTAGTGGTGAATGTTTTGCTTGTTTTCTTGCTTGGCTCATTTTTTTTCTTCTTCCTCTGCTTTCTATTTGTTAGTAAATTTGCATTAAGTATAGCTTAATATGCCTTTCTAGGCGCAGTTTTGAAGCCTCTTCCAGTGTGTTTTTACAGCCAGATACAATTGTAAGGGTTGAAAGAAAGTAACAATTTTTGTCATATCAAGAGCAGAGCTAGTTGAGTTCTCTTTAAACTATGAGCTAGACATGTTTCTCTAAGAAAATAAAGAATATGTGACACTTAAAGATGTGAAAGAGGATACAATTGAGTTTGAAATGAAGAGAGTTTGTGAAGCATGCCTTGCCTTTTTTGATATGAAATTTAGTAATTTTCTTAAAGTTTCAAGAAAGGCAATGTTTCTATACAACCTAAGATGAAACTGACGCTAAAAAATTCTAACCAAAAACAATAGTGATAGGAGTCCACAATCGGGGAAGGTAAAAGGTCTTAGGTAGTGTTTTAGGTTATGTGTGAAGCTCTTCATTAATATATATATATATATAGAGAGAGAGAGGTAGGAGCACCTGGATGGGAATGAACTTGGACTATATTAAGTAATATACCATTTAGCATGTGCACCTCAGTGTGGATGGGGCAATGGCCTCCCAAATTGATAATAAACCCCAAGTTTTTTATCAATTTCCATTTCAACCTTTCCCACAGTTGCAACTTGAAGAAGCTTGGACGCTCAACGCAGCTTATCAACATTTAGTAATGTTCCAGTTGTGAGCGAAACATATTTGATTGATATGTTATTTTTCTCCGAGTGATGTTTACAATGCCCCCACAAACAAAATTTTCAACACTTTGTAGGCCTAGAAGTGATTGGAGCCTTGTACATGATTTAACGCGAAAGTTGTCTGAGCCAGACAGAATCTTTGATGCAATCTGGTAGAGTACAAAAACGGGTTTTTGCTCAGATTCAAGGGTTCTGCAACAAGGGAAGTTATTAAAATCCCTTGGAAAAGCAATTGTCTGCTAAATTGCAGTCCACAAGACTTAAGTTCACTAGAACCGAGGTAAAGAAACCCTGATTTTCTAGTGTTTTTCTCAATTTTGGTAGCATGTGGGCAGACAAATGTAATACCATGGTTTGGACCCTCCAAATTGTAGAGAGTAGCTGATCTAGGCAGTTCCTCTGCATAAGCACTTTCAAGATTCCATCTCCCCCATATTCGGTGGCAACTTGTCAAAGATTTGAGAAAAAAAGAAACAATTAGTTTTTCAAGAGATTTTAGCATAACATATTTTCTTGGTAGCTTCCTCAATTTTTTGCAATTTTTTGCAGTTCCAGAGAGGCAAGTCTATCCTAGGTTGCCAATGGATTTGTGAATTTTAAAGAAGACTAAATTCAATCTTTTAAGAATCAACCTCTCTAGATTGGGGAGTAGCGAGAAGTCCGGAGTTTTTTTGCAGGCGCATCGGAATGGCTAGAATTAAGGGTTTTAATAGCCACGAAACGCACAAAGAAGGACAGGTAGGTGGTAACGATCAATTTTGTATCAACAAACCCAAAGTAATTGGAAAAATAATAAAAACTTAAATAAAATAAGAAAAACAAAAATGTCTATCACTTCGTTCCCTCCAAACCGTTCCAATTGCTATAACGACAATGTCAACTCACCAGTTAGAGCGAATATATTGGCAATCGAATTTTCGAAGGGAATCCACGGCACAACACAGCCCATCTTAATCCTTAGAAATCCGCATAACTTGCCTGAGATCGTATAATAATTTAAGTTGCAGTAGTCCTTTAATTTTTGAATCTTGCAAAATCGCATCAGTTTTGAAGCCTATATCATTTTCATTTCTTTTGCTCAGTGCTGTATGGGTGGAGGAGAGGAAGCCCAAACTGTGCGGTTTAGTGCGTTTTCTGAACGCATGATGATTGTTCCAAAGACGTACTTTTGAAGTGTGTAATTTGAAATATTTAGCAGAAGGATTAACTTTAAGACTGTTTTTCCCGTACATAGTGCATGTCAATGGGTAAGGCCTTCTATTGTTTCAGTGCCCTGTTGATGTAAAAAATGAAGAAAATACGCACAGATAAGTAGGATCAACACAAATATGAAATAGTATTCATATACACAAAGAAGCATGTGCTTACATGTTTTTTCTCTTAGATACATTGAAGGAATCTTTACGAATGCCAATAATCTCTAACGTTTCCCAGCTCCTCTACGGCGATTCCCATCGGCGAGAATAATTTCTCTTCCATATCTCGAAGCAATTGATGCATCATCAGCTTGTTACTTTTATCAACTGTAACAAGACATCTATCAATGAGATTTTGAATACCAATCGTTGTGTAGAAATCACATTCATCTAATATTCTTATCAAGCAATCTTTGTCCTTCCCAACAAAGAAGCAAGCAATATGTAGGAATAAATTTTTGTCATGATCATCTTGTAAGGAGTCGTAGCTTATTTTGAGTTTTTTCACAATTTGACTTTCAGGTATTGCATCTAATTTCTCCAATGCACTTTCCCAAACATGTGCACTTTTCCCAGACAAAGATGAACCCAAAACTTGAAGAGCTAGTGGAAGTCCTCCACAGTATTGTATTACCCTTTTCGAGTGCTCAATGAAGCCTTCCATAGGATGATCTTGTCCAAAAGCGTGCCAACTGAAGAGCTCAAATGATTCAGCTTCATCAAAATTTTCAACCTTATACACCTCATGAGCTTTGTGAGCTTGCATTAATCGCTCATGTCTAGTTGTTATCATGATTCTACTTCCGGGATGAAGCCAATCCTGAGTTCCAATTACTGCATCTAATTGGTCCAATTGAACTACATCATCAAGAACAATAAGAACTCTTTTACATGACATGGCTTCCATTATCTTAATATTTCCTTCATCAACATTATGTATGTTTTCTTTTTTCCACTTGGAAATGTCTGAAAGTAGTTGTCTTTGTAAACGAACTAATCCGTTTGGTTGCTCTGACACTTCTTTGATATTCGCAAGAAAACTGCTACTTTCAAATCTTCTGTAATTTAAATTATACACAAATTTGGCGATAGTTGTCTTTCCTATTCCGCCCATTCCACAAATTACAAGCACACCGGCATTAGTTGATTCATCTTGTAACCATGAGTTAATGCTCGTGACTCGAGAATACATTCCAATTAGGGAAGGTGCATCGCTCAAAATCTTGCGGTTCAACTTGTCTTCAATGACTTTAACAATTTTTTGAATAAATTTTGACTCACGCCTAAAATTGCAATCACAATATGCATGTTAAGATTTGAAGTAAATTAAAACTATAATGTGCAAATTAGTAACAAATAAATTAATGGATAAATAATACCATTAGTTGATGTAATTTAAGTGAAGTGTCATTTTAGTCTCTTAATTTTAATTTGAACAATGGGTCCATATATTTTTAATTTTGTTATAATATGGTTCTTTCGTCACTTACTGTTAGAATTTTGAATGGAAAAAGACCACATGTAAAACTAGACCGTTAGAATTCAGAACATAAAAATATCATGTGTAAAATTAGATGGACCAAAGTGAAATTGAAAATAAATTTATTACACCTATGGTTCCTATTGTTTGTTTTGAATTCCATTTTAGTTCCTCCAGTTTTGCACTTGATTTTTTTTTTGTTTAAAATGTTAACAATGTATGATGGAGGGATCACATTATAATAAAATTAAAGCGGTAAGGACCAAATTGTTTAAATTGAAATTATAAGGATCAAAGTGAAATTTTGTTCAAACTAGAGGAATCAATTGTACAATTTACCCCAAAATAATTCACTGTCAGGCAATTGGTCAATATACAATTCAAAAAAAAAGGAGAAAGAGTTAAATAACAAAAATAAAATAAAAAATAGTAACACATTCCAAAAAGATTTAACCAATATGCTAACATTATAGTATATATATATATATATTCTATTATATACAGTACACAACTCAAAAATTTTGTCATTTATTTTTTTCTGCTTTGCGATATATAGTCTTAAAATTGGTAAATGCTAAACCTTTGCATTTAGTAATTGTTAAATAGTTTTCTAATTTAATCTCATTCGTTAAACTACCCCAAAGTTTAGACGTATGATAGTGAACTCATCACGTTTGTGCTCACGAACGAATTTAGGATTCGGCTTTTAGAGGGACAAAAACACAAGTAATTTTTAATTGAAAAAAATATTGTAAAAATTTTAATTCAATTTTTATCAGCACAAAAAGTAAATAAAAACCTATTAACCAGACATTTTTTTTTGTAAACATTATTGAGTACACAAATATGATTGAACATATATATATTTTTTTTGTCTACATTAACTTACCAAAAATAGTAACTATTATTATGTCTGTTGAAGTTAATTAACTGAAAATATTGTAATTGTCACTTTTTATAATATACATATAAAATTATCTATCATAAGCTTGATGTCAAAATCTTAAGAATATCTTTTTAATAAATGTGATCAAGTAACTTGTTACAAAATTATCTTCTATCCTTTTACATAGTTTAGTTTTAAAAAAATTCATAGTTATAAATGCATGTTTCTATGAATAAAATGATAATTTTTTTTAATAAACAAAAATAAATTTTAGGGCAAATTATATCAGTAGTCCCTACATTTTGCTACTTGTGTCATTTTAGTCATTACAATTTCAATTGATTCAATTTCAACCCTTAATTTTAAATTTTGCTTCAATTTTGTTTAATTGATAACGTCGTTAAGATTTTTAATAGAAAATTTTCATTGAATTAGTTGATGTTAAGTTACTGAATTGATCAAGTTTACAATTTTACTGCTAAAAGTATAGCACAAGCCACTCATGTGCACATTTGCCATAAAAGGTTGCAAACAATTGGACCAATTTGAGATATAAAAAAATTCAAGATCAAAATCGATCCAATTGAAATTATAGGACCTAAAATGACACAAGAATCAAAGTACAGAGACTACAATGTAATTTGTCCTAAATTTTATGAACTCTTTTTAAGATTGCAATGATGAACCTAGACAATATTTTCATTTCTAGAAAATATTCTCGTTTCTAAAGAATAAACAAATATGGATAAATTATACTTTTCACCCTTGCATTTTGTATCAAATTACACTTTGATCTCTATATATAAATTGTGACAGTCAACCCCTTACACTTCTAGTAAAATGCCAATGTCTTTTTTTTTTGTTACTCCACCATGTAAGTCTTTAACAGAAATCAATAACGCGACAAACATATGACTATGAAATGAGGACAAATGAGAAAAATAACCCATATTTCCCATCTATACATATTTTGTCCCAAAATTTACATCAAATTATTATTGTATTTGGCTAAAACAAATTGCATATTGTGAACGATTAAAGAGATAAATTAGGATTTGCAGAAATTAGAATCACAAAGTTATGTTTTCCTCATTAACATGTCTTCCTTCTATTCTTCTTAATTTCTCTTTAATATCTCCGTTACTTATTTTAAATTCAAAAATTCTATTTTCTTACCCCTTCGCCTCTATTTTCAACACACACACACATATATATATATATATATATATTATATAACTCTCACATGCTTATGTGTGTTGGTAGAAAATGTAAATGATTTTTTTCTCTTACTCTCATTTCGTATTTATATGCTTATCACATGATTAGATTTTGTTAAAGGCTTAAACAATGAAATAACAAAAGGGAACATTGACACTTGACAAAAGTGTAAGGGGTTGACTGTCACAACTTTATGTGTAAGGATCAAAGTGAGATTTGGTGTAAAGTGTAATTTACCCAACAAATAATAATAAATACAAAATAAGGTGCATAGAACAAATTAAAGTGTGATTTAATGAAAAAAAAATTAATAACATGCCAAAAAAAAAAGAAAAAGAATAATAACAAATAAGTATATATAGAATAATTCCCATCTAAAAAAAGTATAAATATAAAATATAAACAACACTAAACAATATAACCTTTCCTTAAAAAAAAAGAAAAAAAGAAAAAAAAAGGAAAAAAAAAACTAGACAATATAAAAATATAATAAATAATATAAATAACAAATAAAATGGATTAGTATTTTGATAAAACTTGAACCTTTATAATTTTTAGTGTGCGAACCACTCAGATTTTAAGGATAAAAAGTATATTAATTTAAAATTATTTTACAAATTATTAATATAATATAAAAAAATTAAAATCTTTTGAAAATACGATCGTTCCACGCCCCCCATATCTATCCTTGTTGTACCCAATTCAATGAGCAATGTTACATATAAAAAATATTATTAAATTTTTTTTATCAAATACTCAAAAAAGTATAGTCCAATACTTATGTGATTGTTTGGTAACTTTTTTGATAGAATACTTGGATCTCCAACATTTTCCACTGTTAATATATGTTGAAGTTAGCTCGATTCTTGCCTTGTGCGCTTGGGTGCAAGCCTCTGCATAGGTCGTGGTCAGGAGTCTTTGAAAATTCTTGACCCAACCCGTAAAACAGAGTGTTTTACTTGGTTTAGTACTCTAAACTCTCATTTTATGTATGTTTGGGTTTAGATTTGGGGAAAAACCTACTTAACCAGAAATGATATAGACCCCACAAACACCTACCCCCATGACTCCTATGCACATGTGTCAGAGAGACAGAGAAAAAAACAAAAAAACACACACAAACATGACCAATCATAATTGTTTGGGGGTAATAGGGGTCCCGAAAATGGGGGTTCCAAGTATTTTCCCTATTTAACTTTAGGTCAAAAAATTACTTTGAAGAACAACAGACCCAAGATGAATCTAAGCCATATAGTTTACTTTATATATATATATATATATATTTTGAGTTTTATTTGAATATTCTCCCATTGGTGAATGAGTGAGATGGTTCCACATATACATTAGAAGAGTGTAATTTCATGCACTCCTATGCTGTGTTTCGTTGAGAGATTTGAGAATAGATTTGAAAGGAAAAAAGTAAAAAATAGATGAAATGTGAATAAAACATACTTACATTTTACATATTTTTACACATTTTTTCTTTTTCCTTTTTAAATTTCTTCTCAAATCTCTAACTAAATGCAGCGTTAAAGTGTGTGAATAAATTTGTACTTTTTTTTATAACTTGGTTTTTTTGTTTGCAGTAATGACGTATTCAACAAAATCTACCTATTAAATAATTTAAATCATTAAAATAGGCTCTGATCAAGACCCACCACGGCTCAACGACACTATCTTCCATTAGTCATATATTAAAATTATATTAAAAATTTTTATCCGTAATTCTTATTTTGTACAACTAGTATACTATATATTACAAATACCATATTAAAGTGCACAAATCTATCAGCAAATGACTGCTCATGCCTTGGAAATCACAGTGGTTTACAAAAAAGACAAAGTAAGAGGAAAAACAAAGCCTCACCAAGACGTGGCCGTTTATAGGGATAGTAGTAAGTACTCTGTCTTATGGGGGTTTGCGGTTCGGTTGTGGATAGAGAATCTTCAATCTGTCATTTATCTGTCAGATTGGTAGATTGAAAAAAATCAATTCGTATCCATCCATTAGATTGACGAATGCGGATTGAGCGAAATGGTGGATTGACGGATGGATACAAATCGATTTGGTAGTTTAAACTTTTACAAATTTTGAACATAATACAACAACTTGTCAACATTTTTTTTTTAGATAACATTCTAACTCAACATAATCAAAAGATTATCAAGTAAATTGTCAAATACCAATAATAAATACATACAAAAAAAAATCATGCATTATCAAAACTATTTCATTATTTTTTTTATTTAAAAACTATTTAATTTGATTTTTTTTTTTTAAATAATAAAATTAAGCCTTATATTTTCCACACAAAAATATAAATATCAACAGTTGCCATTTGAAAAAAGGATCTTCAAATTGAAAACATAACAGAATATCTAAACTCTTTTTCAATTGAAAACACATAGAATATCTAAACAAATTGAAAACACAAAATCTTACAAATTGCTAGGGGTGCTCACGGTTTGGCGGTTCGGTTGCGGCCAAGGTAACCTCAAATCCGCTATCCATTCAAAATTAAGTGAATTGAAAAAAATTCAATCTGCAACCGTCCGTTCATCATCACGCATCCGTTCAAAATGCGGTGAATCGGTTCGGTTTGGTTAGTTTGGGCGGATCGGAATATCCGCTGCTCACCCTTATTGCGCCTTACAGGCAGCAATATCCCCGTACTTGACCCACCAGTCCACAAGTTGGT